CCCGAAAAAACCCATCCCAAGGGTGCATCCCCTTCCAGTGCCACGCCCATGCAGTGTCCCCAAACCCCGGAGGGACACACGGGGGACAGACCGCAGCCCCCCGACCCAAAAGAGGGGGGGACCGAGGGGACACTCGGCAGCGCATCGATCGTCCCCACGTGTCGTCCCCCCCAGCTCCCGCAGAGGCTTTAATTTAATCAGCGTGCAAAAATCAATTAGCCGGCTTTAAGGAGGCAATTATTCCTGGGGGCTTAACGAGGCTTGGGGGGGGCAGGTTATTATTTTGGGGTGGGGGTGCTGCCAGTCCCGTGTCCCCCCCTCAAGCTGTCACCGTCATGTCACCAGCTCCTTCCCTGCTTCTTTTCTCCATCATTGTGTCGTCGTCGTCGCTGTCGTCGTCCCCCCATCCCCCCTCGTTATCTTTCTTTTTTAACGAGCGCCTAAAAATACGCCTCGCAGAGGTCACGGGCTGCGTGAGTCACCCGCCGTCACGGTTTCACGGTGGCCCGGGTGGGCAGGGGGCTCTGCGTGGGGACAGGGTGGCCGTGGTGGGGACATGGCCTGGCCCTGGTTGCACCACGGCACTTGTCTCACCTGGAGGGTCAGGGCACATCCCTGGTCCTGGCCAGTGTCCTCGTGGTGGGGCCACAACCCCAGGTCACCTCGTGGCCACAGACCATTGTGTCCCCATGGCATGGCCACCATCCTGGGACACTGTGTCCCAGTCCCACGTCACCTCATTGCCACAGTCTATTGTGTCTCCATGCCATGGCCACCACCCCAGGCCACCATGTGCCCTATTCCAGGCTACCTCACTACACAGGTCACTGTGTCCCCATGTCATAGTGACCACCCTGGACCATCTCACCACCCTGGGACACCATGTCCCCATTCCAGGCTACCTCACTACCACAGGCCACCGTGTCCCCGTGGCATGGCCACCACCCCAGCCCACCCTGGCTGCAGATCTGGGATGGCTTCTATGCCACCCTGGGGCAGCAGCACCCTACAGATGGGGACAACACCTCAGGTGACCCTGGCTGGAGACCCTGGGGTGCTCCCTGTCCCTGTCCCCAGCCCCAGCATGGGGAGGCAGTGCAGCACAGCCCCCCCGAGCCAGCTCCATCCACAGGGGGACGGGCAACCGAGTGGCAACCTCCAAAGGGACAGGTTTGGGAGTGCAGGAGGGACAAGGCTGGGAGGTGACAGCACTGGCAGCAGTGGTGGCACTGGTGGCAGTGTCAGTAGAGGCAGCAGCGGTAGTAGCGTCAGCAGTGGCAGTAGAGGCAGCAGCGGAGGCAGCAGAGGCAGTGGTGGCAGTGGCAGCAGTGGCAGCAATGGTAGTAGTGTCAGCAGTGGCGGCAGTGGTGGCAGTGGCTGCGGTGGCAGCAGTGGCAGTAGCGGCAGCAGTGGTGGCAGTGGTGGTGATGGTGGCAGCATCAGCAGTGTCAGCAGTGCCAGTAGTGGCAGCAGGACCAGCAGTGGCAGCAGAGGCAGCAGTGGCTGCGGTGTCAGCGGTGG